GGAGACCAGATAAAGTCCCAGTTTGGCTTCCAGCTTCATGTCATTCTGTTTCAAAGCTCTGAAATCTGATTTGTTTGTCAACATAAATCAGCTGTTGGTTCAATGAGCTGCACATCCCACATCATGACTACCCCACCACTCTGCCTGGAGCCACCGTTTCCACAGCGACTGTAAATAAAGACATGGAGAGCAGAAGGTTTCCCATGAGCAGCAGCCAGTAGATCCTGACATTCTGCAGAGGAACATCAGGGAAGCAGCATTCCTCCGTTCTGATGATTACAGGAAAACTCCCAGGGGATTCATGGGAATCTGGAGATCCGGGCGATACGCTCTAATGAGGACATTCCTGCAGTCCGAGCCGCAGCGTAAAACTTCGGACTGCATGGGTTTGCTCCTGCCGTTCCCACGAAGCTGCAGCCGAACCAGGCAGGCACAGAGCGACCCGATCGTTAGCCTCAGGCTTCCAGCAGCTCCGCTTTCCTCTGAATGGAGCTTTTTATGAGCCGCAACGTTTCAATCAAAGCGCAGCCATGTGGGGAAGTAAAGGAAATCAAACTTTCACTGTCTGGCCTGTAAAAACGTGAAGCAGCAGCAGAAACCGTCGCCGCTCCCTGAAATCCTGAAGCTGTGGCGGTTAAACGTGCCTCCAGGTCGACCCGGCCCGGCCCGGCCCGGCCAGGCCCGGCGGCAGGACAGACGCATGAATCCTGGAGAGGTGGAGGAGGTGGGACCAGATGAGAACCATCTGGAGGGCGACTTCAACAAATTACACATCAGAGCCGGAGGATGGAGGAGAACCGAGCCGAGCCGAGCCGAGCCGCCGCCCGCTGCATCCTACCTTCCTGAAGAGGTGACCCGTGCTCCAGCGCCATGCCCCCCTCAGGGAGGACAGCCGCCGCCGCAGAGAGCCGCCGCGGTTCATCTCTGGAGCAGCACTGAACTTTCCTCCGGAGACCTCTCCCTCTTCCCTCTCAGCCCAGAAGAAAAAAGTTCTAATTTTAGGCCAAGCGGGCCGAGCAGAACTCCTCCCTCCCCCTCCAGCCAGCTCTGCCCTGATGCTCGGACTCCCCGCCTCCAAACTTCCCCCCATGTGGGACTGAAGCCGTTTGTTCACATCAACATCTTTTCCCTGCATGGATCCGAGGATCTGAGCTGCTGGTGGAAAGTCAAGCAGAGGTGAAGCGACGCGGTGAAGGAGTCAAGAGACGAGGCAAAGCCAAGCCGGCGTCCGCCTGGCATCGAGCGACCAGAACTCGCTGCCGCCGTCCTGCAGGAAGCATCACAAGCAGGACCTCTGGCTGCGTTTTCTGCTCCAGTTTGGACCCAGGCTAAAAGTAGAAAACCTTGTTTAGGAGCTGAGCTGGCGCTCCAGTCTGGGCGAAGCTCGGAAATGCCGATAAAAGCGACCACACACACAAACAAAGACAAACCGTGGGAAAGAAACCGCCAGAGGAAAACGAGTCCAAACCAAACCGGGTCTAAAGAGTCGCTACGGATCACAGCAGGATCCAGAACCTGATCTCACTGGACCAGGTTATGAAATTCATCTTTAACGATAATAAAAATGTTCAACGATAACCTGAAACTTCAACCTGCAGCAGAATCACATCACTGATCAATAAAGAGGAAAATATGACCAAAAAATACATAAAAACAACTGAAATAACTAATAAATATTATATAATAAAAAATTGTAATAATAATTAATAAAATGACAGCATGAACAAAGAGTCAGTCTGGACTCACCATGGTGTCTGCATGCTTGAGAGCGAGGCTGGTGCTGGGAGCCTGAGGAGAGGAAACGGAGATCATCAACACCAGCAACCTGGAAACTACATCAACCTGGAAACTACATCAACCTGGAAACTACAGCAACCTGGAAACTACATCAACCTGGAAACTACATCAACCTGGAAACTACATCAACCTGGAAACTACAGCAACCTGGAAACTACATCAACCTGGAAACTACATCAACCTGGAAACTACATCAACCTGGAAACTACATCAACCTGGAAACTACATCAACCTGGAAACTACATCAACCTGGAAACCACAGCAACCTGGAAACTACAGCAACCTGGAAACTACAGCAACCTGGAAACTACAGCAACCTGGAAACTACATCAACCTGGAAACTACATCAACCTGGAAACTACATCAACCTGGAAACTACATCAACCTGGAAACTACAGCAACCTGGAAACTACAGCAACCTGGAAACTACAGCAACCTGGAAACTACAGCAACCTGGAAACTACAGCAACCTGGAAACTACAGCAACCTGGAAACTACAGCAACCTGGAAACTACAGCAACCTGGAAACCACAGCAACCTGGAAACTACAGCAACCTGGAAACTACAGCAACCTGGAAACCACAGCAACCTGGAAACCACAGCAACCTGGAAACTACAGCAACCTGGAAACTACATCAACCTGGAAACTACAGCAACCTGGAAACTACAGCAACCTGGAAACTACAGCAACCTGGAAACTACAGCAACCTGGAAACTACATCAACCTGGAAACCACAGGAACCTTTAATCAGCTCATATTTACGAGCCGGCGGCGGCGGCGGCGGCGGCGGCGGCCATGATGTCGCTCAGTGAGTCAAAGTCATTAATCTTCGAACTGGACAAATATTTACACAAAGAGACAAAATCAGCCAAGAGCAGAAGATCCATTACCTTATAGAGCAACACGGAGAGAGAGAGGAAGGGGCGAGAGAGAGAGATGGAGAGAGCGGCAAGAGAGAAAGAGAGAAATTTGAAAGTGAAAAAAATATCAAACATATTTTCAAGTTTTATTTCAGTTTCATATCATTTTTTTCAATCTGTCTTTTTTAAAGAAACTTTGTCCTCAATGTAGCTCCGTATGTTTCACCATCAGTAGATCCAGGTGTCAGATCTGGGCGGAGCCTGTGACAGAGGCTGTGATTGGATGAGCAACATCATCATCTTCAGATGAAGAAATGTTTGTTTTGTTCCAACATTGGGACGGTGGAACCGTTACCACAGCAACCGGGACGCAAACAGGAAGTTGCTTTACATTTTTGTTGCTGCTGTTTTCATTTCGCCAACATTTACAGATGATGACAAGTTTCAAAGTTTCGAACATGTTTGAAACTTTCGAACATGTTTGTCTTGTGGCAGGCTGCAGAGCGGCCGTCCCGCGTCGGCCCACAGCATGACCTGCCTCTGCAGGGAGCCGCAGCGTAAACAGACAGAAGTCAGGGGTAAATTATAGTCTGACCCAACGGCCGAGAATACCCGCCGAACGCCCAGAAGAAACCGCCGGCCTTCGTCCCTTCAGTCCTGGAAGGAGCCTGCAGGACGCAGCGGGCTGCTGTTAGCGGCGCTAAATGCAGCCTGCGGCGCGCAGCCACAGGCATCTCACACACACACACACACACACACACACACACACACACACACACACACACACACACACACACACACACACACACACACACACACACACACACACACACACACACAGCCTGTTGTGTGTTTATGCAGCAGGACCAGCCCGGTGCTTCAACATGCGTTTCCTCTTTGTGTAATTGCAGCCAGATGGCCGGAGGAAGTGTGAGCGCGTTGGAGCCGACAGCGGAGAAACTTTGTTTGGTCCACATTTGGAGGGAAACACAGGAAGTTTAGTTTACGTCTTCAGAGTCGAATCGTTCAGAATATTCTAGTTAAAACATAAAAAAGTTTAGGTTTCAGTCAGTCGATGAAAACGACTCGAATCAGAAACTGGAGGCTCTGGTCCCAGGAAGCTGGTCTGTGAAGGGATGATATTGATGATTAGGATTATTAGTGATGTTGGGATGTTTATGGGATGCTATTGGCTCACAGCAACCAGTTCATGCTACCTTTAGCTTTATAGTAACGACCAACTGAACGGCAAATTAAATAACTTGTTTCAGAACCAACTTTCATCGGATTCAAACGATGCAGCGATCAAAGAATGATGCCAAATGAAAATAAAACGCTGTTAGCACTAAAAATGCTGCATTAGTGCTAAAATGTTGCAGTATTGCTAAACTACTGTATTAGCATTAACCGCTGCATTAGCGTTAACCTCCGCATTAGCGCTAAACTGCTGCATTAGCACTAAACTGCTGCATTAGCATTAACCGCTGCATTAGCACTGAACTGCTGCATTAGCACTGAACTGCTGCATTAGCACTAAACCGCTACATTAGCACTAAACTGCTGCATTAGCGTTAAACCGCTGCATTAGCACTAAACTGCTGCATTAGCGCTAAACCGCTGCATTAGCGCTAAACTGCTGCATTAGCGCTAAACCGCTGCATTAGCACTAAACTGCTGCATTAGCGCTAAACCGCTGCATTAGCGCTAAACTGCTGCATTAGCGCTAAACCGCTGCATTAACACTAAACCGCTGCATTAGCACTAAACTGCTGCATTAGCACTAAACCGCTGCATTAGCACTGAACCTCTGCATTAGCACTAAACCGCTGCATTAGCACTAAACCGCTGCATTAGCACTAAACCGCTGCATTAGCCCTAAACCGCTACATTAGCACTAAACCGCTACATTAGCACTAAACCGCTACATTAGTGCTAAACCGCTACATTAGCGCTAAACCGCTACTTTAGCACCAAACCGCTGCATTAGGACTAAACCGCTGCATTAGCGCTAAACCACTGCATTAGCGCTAAACCGCTACATTAGCGCCAGTTACTTCCTGTCCTCAACAGAACACCCCTGATTACAAAAATGTAAATCTTTAAGTGTTTATCGATTTGATTCAGAAATGATTTTTTTGTGCAGCCTCCAAGATTCTGTTTAAATTATTCAACTGACAAAGATAATTTAACCAAAAACATTTGATTTAAACAATTTGATAAAGTTCCATCAGTTTGAACAAAAATCGGTTTCTGCATGAACTCTTTCAACTTAAATCACCTTTGTTAGGTTCGCCTGGAGCTTTCTTAAATAAAACATTTTTTAAAGACTTATTCAAAATATAATTTTACAAAAACTTAAGCAGATTAAAATTGATTTTGATCATTTTGACTTGATTCATTATCACTAAAAATTTTATTTGTTTTAAATAGCTTCTCCACTGATTTGCTTCATTTTAACAAAGGATGATGTGGAAACTGTTCAGACCCGGGAGCACCATCTTCTGTTTGCACCTGCTGGCGGTCCGATCCGGTCCGATCCAGTCCGGTCCGGTCCAGTCCAGTCCGGTCCGGTCCGGTCCGGTCATCCAAACCCCCGAGTCGACTGATTTTCACTTTGAAACCGATTCAAGTTTCTGGTTAAAACAAGTTTCCTCTACATCGGGTTCTGAAGCCGATTTTAAATCAGAAAATTGGAAAAAATATGATTTTTACTGCAGCAGAGCAGAAACCATAAGCAAAGCCCCTAAAATGTGTAGCTGCTCCTTTAAGAGCCGGTCCGGTTCTCTGGAGTCACGCCGCGGCCGTAAGCCGAGTCAGCTGAGCATCAGCTTCTCATGTCAGACACTAAAAATAACGACTCAGCCAACAGAAAACATGGGTTTTTATCTCCTCTGAGGGAAACGGCTGAGAACAGAAACATCTCTGTCAGGCCGACCCGGTTCTGCTCCGAGTTTCCAGAACCGAACCCGGAGATTCAAACCGCCGGACTGGATCAAAACGTTCAGATTAACTCTGATAAACAATAAGAGCTTATGAAAAGGAAACCAACTTCACTTCCTGCTGGAAGGATTCTTCAGTTGCTGTGATGCAGGAAACATTTTTTCCTTCCACTCAACTTTCCATGAGCATTCCTAGCTTAATATTGTGTGTTCCCCACAACATTAAGCTGAATTTATGATTCGGATTGCAGAGATAAATAAATTCTTTATAATGTTTATAGTGCCATGTTAATTATTTCCTTTGTTTTACTTTCACACATTTGTTATCATGTGACGTTTTATGGTGGCAATTGGTTTAAAAGGCTGAAGAATGGCAGCCATCTTGAAATGCTAATGGGAAATATGAGAAACATTTGATCTGCATGTTTATGTTTGTGTTCATACTAAACAGATTTTACAGTAATAATCTGCTTACTGAGCGCGGCGTGCCGCCTCCATATTGCGCCCCAACCCCGCACATTCCATCTTTTAAACACGTTTCATATCAAATCCTGTTTTTTGGCCATTTAATGAACTAAAATGTGTTTAAAGTGACAGCATCCTGTAACCATGGAAACAAATCTGCTGGGCGGGTCTCCAGATATTTAAAACCAAGAAGAAATAGAAACTCCAAAACCAGTCTGGTGCTGGAAACCAGAGAGGCAGGCTGCGCCCTCTGCTGGACAAACAAGGAACTGCATGTTTGCTTCAGAGGCAGCGTGAGACACAAAGGGTTAAAACAACCAAATCAGTGAAGTTTCCCAAAAACTTCACTGATTTAAAACTAGATTCACTTTAATTCTCTGATTGGTTCAAACACTGCAGGGAAAAACTCCACAAACTCAACTTCCCAGAATTCCCTGTTCTTCCATTTAGAAACAGTGAAGTTCAGCAGGGAGATACGGCCAAAGGTACGACAGCTGGAGGGAAGGAAGGAAAGAGAGAGAGAGAGGACAAGAAAAGAAGAATGAAGGGAAGAGAGGAGGGAAGAGAGGAAGCAAGGAAAGAGGGGGGAAGGAAAGGAAAAAGAAAGGCAATAAAGAAGGAAGAACAGAATAAGTGAAAGGAGGTAGAGAAAAAGACAAGAAAAGGGACAGAGAAGACGGGAAGAGAGGAAACAAAAGGAAGGATGAAAGGACAGGAAAAAGAAAGATGACAAGGAAGGAAGAAAGGAAGGAAAGAAGTAAGGAAGGAGGACCTCTGATGCGATGAGGAATAAATCGGAAGACTTAAGGTTTTCCTTCCCTCTTATTTTCTTTTCCAGAAATCTGTGACTCTAAATATCTAAAATTATTAAATGATCAAAATGAACTTTGATCATTTTGATCACATATTAACCCTTGTGTTGTTTAGCTGTAGAAAAATACCAAAATAATCTTTTTCCATCTTGAAATCTTATGCTTTTCCTAAATTGGCTGCGTCATTGAGAAAGTGATACTTTGTTTATGTTTTTGTTTCCATGTGGGCTGAACAGAACCAGGTACCAGGATCGTCTTATGGGTCATTTTGGACCCGTGCATCAGAAAAGCATTTAAACACCAGAAAAGAGTTCAAAGGCAACACACACACACACACACACACACACACACACACACACACACACACACACACACACACACACACACACACACACCTTTAACCAGCTGTAGTTCACATTCTGACCACCAGATGGCGGCAAAGTGCTTCTGTTAGTGTCCTGAGTGTGAGCGGTAAAAGTATCAACCAACATCTGTGGTATTTCTGAACCACCATGGCGACTTTCTCGTCCTTAAGGAGATCAAAATGTAATGAACTGTAGAAGCCCAAAAGGTTCTAGAACCAGAACCGGATTATTCTTCCCTGGCACTGACATCCCATGATTCCACCCTTCAGCACGACGGCCCAGATTCTCCTCTGAAGGTTCGCTTTAATCTCCCCGTCCTTAAAGCAGGACTGCTGCCTGTGGTCGGCTTCCAAGTCGTTCTGAACGTCAGGTTTGATTTTTCCAGGATGGTCGGAATTCCCACCATGGCTGAATATCGCCGGGATCAGGCTGACCTGGAAACGCTGCGGATAAATAACTTTTGTGGCTAACGCAAGAAAAAAGAGAACATATTTAATTTCTTTTATGATCAGCTGAATCTGAATCTCATCCAAATCCCTGGAATTTTGAGGATTTAGACGAGAAAAGATTCACATTTGCTGCCAACATTTTCCCTGCAGGAAGGTAAAATATGGCGGCTGTAATCAGACGGCACCTGAACGCATCACTAAATCATCTCTGCTCCGGCAGCGAGAGCAGGAATCTGCCAAACAAGGAGCGGTGGGAACGCCGTGGAGACGCAGCGCGTCATCCAGCTCCTGATGCATGCTGGGAAGTGACAGATACTGTAAAGCTCCAGGAATGTCTTACTCACCTACATTACGCATGGAAACACCAAACTGAGAAATTCCCTGCTGTTGTCATCATCCAGACTACATGTAACCCGTCCCGGTTCTGTACGACCCGTCCCGGTTCTGTGCGACCCGTCCCGGTTCTGTACGACCCGTCCCGGTTCTGTGCGACCCGTCCCGGTTCTGGAAGTCTCTGGTTGGGTTTAAGGACTAAAACTGCTGAATCAGGACTGGGAGACAGTTTGTTGTTGGATTTAAAGACTAAACCCAACTGGTGAAGGACTTGGTTCTGAAACCACTCGGTCCGTTGAAGGCCACAGATGTTCGGTTGTCGGACTCTAGCGGCCAAGTGAGGTCCAATGGATCTCTGCTGGGCTTGAGAAATAAAACTGCTTGGTTAGAACAAGTTGATTTGATTGACTTTAACTGCCAAATGAAGACCTGGAAATGAGTTTTCCAGGTGAAGTTTTGATGATTTTCTCGGTTGGTTATGTCTGGGCAGCAGTGTCTGGGTTTGTTTTAAGGTCTAAGGTCACTTGGTTGGAATTAGGTGACAATAGACAGTTTTCTAGTTAAATTGTAAAACAAACTGATAAGTTGGGACAAGGCAACTAAAACATGACTGTTAGTGTTGAGCAACCAGGTCCAGGAGAGACCGAAGAGCTAAATCTGTCCGGTTAGGATCAGTCAAACTGGCAACATGTCAGGTCTTCCATGAATCAGCAGCATCAGGAATCAGTTTATTAGATGTAGGGAATAAAACATGCAGGTCAGCCTCAGACATTAATGTTAAAATCAGGCAACAGTTCCTGGTTCCTGTCAATGTCCTTGTTAGGATTTCTAAATGTGACAATAAATGCAGAAACACATTAAAGATGCAGCAGCTGTTTACGTTTTGAAGGAAAACTTGCTTGGAGTGAGAAAGAGCTTCCTGCTGAGGCGACAGTGTCATGGTTGGGTTTCGGCCACAGAGCCAGTTGTTGAGGTTTGGCTTGGAAAGCGTCTGGGTTAGAGTCAGACAACAGATTTATGGGAAGATTTACAGATGAGAATTTAATCTTTGTTGGGTTTCAGCACTAAAACACAAGTTTAAGGTCAAGCAATGACTTTCAGTTGGGATGAAAATAACCGGGCTTGGATTGGTCCGCAGGCTCTCCTTGGGGTTTGTATAACTATTTAACTGTGATGAAACATCAATTTCCTACAAACGTTCCTGTTCTGGTTTGGTGTGAAAATGACTTGAGGGTTACCCGTGAGTTTCATCGTTAAGTTTAGGGACAAAACGTTATGATTAGTCGGCAGATTCCTGGCAGAGCGGTTTATGGTTCCCGTTTCCTTCAGCGAACAGAGAATTTGCCGGTTTGGTTGTGGGAGAGTGAGCTCAGAAAGGTAGAAGTGAATTTCACCCCCACCTCCCTGTGCACATCTCAACCAGATGTCTTCATGCAGAAAACATCTCGAGCAAAAAGCATCTGTGAGGATAACAACATGTTCCTGATTAATTATGGCAGCTTTTATTGAAAGAAAACCCAGACGTTTTCTCTGTAAGGGCAGTAAAGTGCAGGGGATATTTGCTTTGGTTTGTCAGGCACCCAAAACCACTTAAACACACAACATGTGAGGAATCCCATCCAAGTCCAACACGGCTTCTTAAAGCCATACCAAAAAAGGCAACGCAGCCCGAGTCGTCCTCTCCAAACACACTGCGCTTCTACTGACGCTACGTCACACAGCACACTCAGAGCGAATTCAGCAACAGAAACATCAACAAAACGAGGAACAGTCAAAGTTCAGACTCACCAGCTCGTAGTTTGTGGCTGGAACACAAGAAGACGACACCTGGAAACAAACAGAAAGCCCATTGGTCAGCTGCTGCTCTGCGATCAGATGGATGAGAAACAAGCAGAATGGTTCAAAATGTCTGCCGTTCATCAAACGTCTCAGGTCAGAATCACTGACCTTACGTCTATTTGGCAAAGCGACGACATTTCTAAAAGATTTAATCAAACTTTCTACAGATTCAGAAGTTCATTTACATTTGGTCAGAATCAGGCTGCATGACTTTGGCCAAAACTTTTAGCTTCTGATAGACCAACCAAAACCGGAACCGATGTTTGGGTCGAACAGAAAGTCTTTTACTGCTGCATGTTCTGGTTCGACCCAGTGGGAAAGTCAAAGGAAATAAAACGAACCAGCTGCTCCAGTCCGCTCCGGTCCAGTCCCAGTCTGGTCCAGTCATAGTCTGGTCCAGTTTGGTCCAGTCAAAGTCTGGTCCAGTTTGGTCCAGTCAAAGTCTGGTCCAGTCAAAGTCTGGTCAGTAACTAATGGAGCAAAATGCTTGACGCCTGGCATCAGTTGATCGTTTGGTGACTGAATTGCAATGACTTTACGTGTCTTTAGAAGACATTTTCTGTTTTGCTTCTGTCTGAGTGAACCGGACTGAAGCGCGTCCTGCAGTGAGCCGCTCAGCGAGGAGGAAGCCATGACTCCAACAGAAACACCCGGACCGGACAACTGGACCAGGATCTTTGTTTTTAGAGACGTCCTGGTCTTTAAAAACAGCTGCTCCAGTCCGCTCTGATGACAACCAGAGGACCAAACTATCCTCACTGTGAAGTATGGTGGTGGCAGCATCATGCTGTGGGGATGTTTTACTGGTGCACTAAATAAACTTAACATCATGAGCAAATGATGTTTTGTGAAAATATTGAACAACATCCAAAGACATCAGACAGGAAGTCAAAGCTTGGGCACAGATTGGTGTCCAAACCCGAAGCTCCGACCCAAACATTAGGCCGGATCCAGCGGTTCTGCCAGGAGGAACGGACCAGAACTCCAGCAAACTGCTGGGAGAATCTTCTGGAAAAGGTTTGACCCAATCATCCAGCTGAAACAATCCTGATAATCAAATAAAGTTACAAAAAATATGTATCTTTGAAAATGACAATAGGATTAATTCTGGTGATTCTAACAAACTGAAAACAGGAGAATTTGTTCTGATTTCACTTCAGATGGAAGGAGAAAACGTGGCTGAGTCTTTACACTGGGTGTATGTAAACTTCTGGTCAGGAACAGCCAACAACACAGATGAAAATGTTTGTCTTATTCTTTGCAGCCAAAATGTGTTGTTGTGTCTTTAAATGTTTGGCCTGGCGCCCTCCGGTGGTCACAAAGAGCAGCTTTGATGTTTTCATTTTCTGTCAGTTTTTCTCTTCCTGTTTATTTTCTTTCTTCCGTTTTTTTTTCTGACAGACCTTCATGATTCTGAGCCAGAAGGCCTCATGATGGCCCAGTTGATCCGATTAGCACCCGGCTGCGGTCCAGGTCAGCGCCGCCATAAACAGGAAGAACTCGACGATAATGGCATTTAACCAGGACTGAAATGATAGAAAACGATGAGATCCATCCTGATGAGAATCCATGCACACAGAATGTTCCTTTCCTGTCAAACACTGGAAGAAAAAAATCCTGCAAACTTTATTTTCGGCTGAGATTTTATCAGCGGTGACTGATAGGAGTCGACGGTTTGATGCTCCTTTAAAACCGTTTTTATGACTCCAGTAGGACGGAGCCGCAGCTTTCCCCAGGCCGGCTCTCATCTCCTCTATCCCACACTAATCACGCCGCTTCATGAGCGACGCGGCTGCAGCGACGCGGCTGCAGCAACGGCTGCAGCGACGGCTGCAGCAACGGCTGCATGCAGTCTGAAAACCGTCCAGCAAACCGAGACGTGTCCACCAGAATCACAGCTGCACCAGGAGTCCAGCTCCTGGTCACGTCTACAGTTTTCCAGGTTTCTGACGTTTGGCTCTTTAAACTCAAATAAATCTGTTTAACTAACCTGATTACCTCTGTTGGGTCAGAAAACCTTCAGTTTTAAACTGTTGATTGATCAATTTAAAAAAGCCGAGTTCCATTTTATGAAGCTTCATTATTACTCTTATTTGCTGTTTTTGTTGTTCTGATTATTTATTTCCAGTTCCAATTAAATGTTCATTAGAATTTAAAGTGGAGAATGCCTTCTTGCATTATTATTATGACATTACAATTATATTACTGGAAAAAGGTCTCAGAGCAACAATGTTATCATTTATCACAATAACTTTATCATGCAGAATAATTTGTCATGTGACAGGTCAACCTGTAACCAGTTTCTGATTGTTTTAGTTTGAATTGATCAAAAATAATCTGGTTACAGTGGATGATTTACAGTAGGGTGACAGACATCAAGTTATTTTCCTAAAATAGCTTTTAAAAAGTCATGACTGATGTTTTCATCTGATGACAGTTTTCTTTAGCAGATAGAAAGACGAGCAAAGAGCAGCAAAAATCTAAAACACAGAAAAGCCGAAGCGTTCGGCTCCTCGGAAGGAAAACATGAAGAAACTAGGAGACTAAACATCTTAATGATGACATCATTTTTCAGAAATTCATATTTTCCTCGTTCTCAATTAGCACCGCTAACTAAATATTAGCACAGCTAACTAAATATTAGCACAGCTAACTAAATATTAGTACAGCTAACTAAATATTAGCGATGCTAAGCCTCAAACACAAATAATAAACGTTAGCCGATGCTAAAGCACTAGCCCAATACAGTGTATAGCAGAAGCTTACGCTAAAGCGCTAATGTCAACCATGTTATCCTTCTTGGTGATTCACTTTTTCCTTCCACTCAACTTTCTGAATACCCTGGTTTTCAGGTTTTCATCATGTGTAAGCACAAATAAAAGTTTTACTGATTTATTGAACATATAAGTTGAAGCTTCACCTTGAGCTAAACGTACATGGCAGCTTGGAGGGTAAGAGAAAAAAAATATGCCAAAAAATTTGAGTTTTATCTGGTTTTTGTCACCAAACTCCAAACATTGAAAGCATCACTACTAAAACCACCTGAAATAACTGTTAGGGTCCAACAGCAGATCTGTCCAACGTTAAACGATGATCCAAAGGAAACCTTTAAGAGTTGATCAGGATTATGGATCAGCAGCGCTTAAAGGAAACCAGGTGGAAACGGGCAGCAGGTGATGCTAAAGCAGCAGGAAAACCACGACACAGAAACATGTGAGTCACTTCTGCGTGTCTTTATGGCTGCTTCTCCATCTGGATTACAGGAATGCTCTCTCTAAACAGGAAATGACCCTAATCACATTCTGTGTTTCTGCTGGAGGAGCCGCTGCGCTTCGGTTTGAAGCAGGCTGCGACGTGGAAACATCGTGATGCATGGATGTGCAGTGGACGCAGTATTTACATCCATCTTCAAGTTATTCCTGAATAAGTCAGCTCTTATCGCAGCGGACTCAGCAGGTCTGCTCTGTTTCCATGTTTGCACGTCGCGCCGTTGACAGCCCATCCACCTGCAGAAAGCAAACCATCACAGGCCGAGATACCGACAAAATATTTACAGTATCTGCTTACACGCCTGCAAGACAACAGGATTCAGGTTGAGGTGACGGGATAAAAAGCAGAGACAACTGAACTAGGAGTTGTTTTGACAAACTAAATGTCTCCCTGAAGCAGAGAAATCGAAGAAATCCACATGAAACAAAGAGAACCTGGAGCAGAACCAGGAAAACCAAGCAGCAGCTGGACTGAAGCGATGCTAAAGGAACTGTAAATAGTTTGTATTAAAGTCAACATTCACCCAATCACTCACCACGAACAGTTCTTTGTTCCTCTCAACAAACATTTCTTCTTTCTGGGTTTTCTATAACAGAATCCAAGATGGCAAAGAGGAGGGTTGAACACAACCAGCCTGAGTCCAAGACCCAACTGCAACCAACTGATCCAAAACACACAAAAAACCCAAATCTAAACAAAATGACACCACAGAGCCCAGAAAATTAAAGAAAAACCTGCAATAAACAAAAATGCAACAGAAAATGCAAGAACAATTTATGTTGCAAACTCATTCCACAAAATGAAAGTCCTCCAGACCACCAGGGGGAGCAAACAGTCAAAAAATGTTCCATCAATATTTGGTTGATGCTGCAGCCCGATTGGTTCACTGACTTAAAACTTAATGAATGTTTATTATTAGTGCATTATTATGGTACTAGACATTTTTACCTAAATAAAATACAAACTAAGTAGAAGAACAATTTACAATCTATTTTTGCAACAAAAAAGGTAAAATTTGAAGTCAATAATACATTTATTCTTTATTCAATGTTCACTCTATTATTTCTGAGGTTTAACTCTCTTAAAATATAAACTTAACCAGGATCAAACCCAGAGAGTCTGAACCGCGACCCCACTGGAGGAAACCAAAGTGTGAAAAAGACTCAAACCTTCAGCTAATCTAATCGGAGAACTCTGCTGGTAGACACGGCCAATCAGATTTAAATTGAGGCGTGTGATTCACCCATGACCAACTCATGATTCATGGCAGCAGCAGGACGATCCCCCCACAGCTTCATAGGTTCACGTCTAATCTTCAAGTTATTGGAAAATAGATTTAATGAGGAAAAGAAGTTATGAGATTCTGTGATGATGAGATCAAAGTTTCACTGGCTCGCTGCTCATGGAGCGTCTTCAACGTGTCGGAAGTTATCAGCTTAAAAATGGACTTTTTGCTGAAAAACAGAAAAGACGACCTAAAATATTTTGTTTTTAGTTGAAGTAAAATTTCCTTTAGCTGCAGCTACAAACAGCTACAGCTGTACTTAGGCTACTGTCATTTAGACAGTTAGCATGTTAGCTTCACGCTCCAAATGCTGATAACGTTGCTGTTCTACACAACCAGGAGAAAATAAAGAAAATATTTATAGCAAGAGAATCCCAATTTAATATTTACCAGAAGAAAAACTTCCCTAAGCTACAGTTATAAAACTGTTTAG